AGGATGTGGAAATTGAGAGTATTGACACGAGACATGCTGAAAACTGGAGTAGCTTTTTTCATGCAGGTGAACAGCCATTTTTACAGAAAGAAAATCTAGATTCAAATGAATTAATTTTTCAGACTATGAAGAAACACACCTTTCAAATCACAGTCCTCTCACTTAGTCTCTGCTACAGCTATACAGTAACAGCCTATACCCACTTCAAGTCCTTCCCACAGATTAAATCAGGTTAGGTATTTTGACTTGGTCAGAAGGGTATGAATGGGTTAGTTGGCAGAATACAAACAGAGTTATTCTGAGGCAAATTGCCAAAGACTATTTTACAAATGATGTGAGTAGTCTTCTGAATGGGGAATAAATGCTTCATTCACTGGTATCTACTGTGGTGCCTTGGGGAGTGACCATAACACAGCAGCATGAGATGTAGGAACACATAACAGTGTTTACAGATTCATATTTGCATCATACCTCCAAGCTGGTGTAATTATTCCTGAGTTTGCTCTGACTCATGGAGTTTTGCTTTCCCCAGTAAAGCTTCTTCAGTGCTCTATGCACCAAATCATACAGATCATACACTGGAAAGTTTCTGCAATGTCACAACTACAATACCCAATAGAAAAAGTTAAATGTTCTAACAATTTCAGGATAACACTTCAGCATTTGCCACAGTTCAGGAGAGTATTTTAATTTTAAATGTTGCAGGTTCAAGCAGATTCTGGTTTGTATACAGACTGTATAACTTCAACATCATTTTCAACTGCCACAGATACAGATAAGCATCCTGTGTGTGTGTGTTTTTTTTTTTATAGACTTGGATTCAAGTGAGTATTCTCTTTATACAGCTTAGGGCTTAGGTGAGTTGTTCTCTACGGGGCAAGAGTAGATCAGACAGGCATTTCCAAAAGTTGGGCAGGCCAGCACACCAGGAAAGACATTGTAATAGATGTGATAAAAGAGGTTTGATGGGATGCGCTGTGCCAAGGCTTTGGAGCATGTGTCGAGAAATCCAGGAAGGCTTTTGTCAAACGCGTTTCAAGGCTTGTTTCTTTAAGGGCAAGTGATGTCACAGACAGCTGAAGTCTCAATGTTTCAGAAAGTGGCTCAAGTGTTTGTGTGATTTATGAACATATACAAAGCAGACTGTGTTCTTGTTGGAGTTTGGCTCTGTGACATAGAGGAGCTTGTTTTCATGGAGCCTGCTGAAAGTTTAATCCTGTCTGGCAATCTTATAATAAAGTCTTACAAATAATATGTCTGTAAATAATGAAATTTGTTACTACTATGATATTCACAGTAATTGAAAAAAATACTTAATAGCTGTTTTGCAAATGTAAGCAATTAATTAACTTAATACATTTTTTAGATGTCTTTCTGTTTGCTTTTCCTCACTCATTGAGAAACCTCAAGTCAGTTTTGGACTTCATCAAGTGCACTGATTTATCCTGACATATTAGAGAGAGTTGGTGAAATCTAGATTCGTCTATTGCTATTATATATGGACTAAATGTGGACGACCTCTACTTTTTTCATACATTCTTCACTGTCGGATCGTTTTGATACCACTTTTACACCTTATTTTCACCAGTACACAACTCACATTATAGCTTGAACTACTTTTTAGTTGGTAGCTCAATTGCAAGCGATATTACAGACACTCAAGCTCTCAAAACTTTAACATAAACACATCTCTGACAGCTTGGTGGGAATTTTTAAAAATAATAAAATCTTTAGTTATCCAGTGTAAACTACCACCCATTTGGAACAATTCAAATATAGGTCAGAAATGAGTGACAAAACGTTTCTCCCACTGAAAACATTACGTCCAGATAAACAGAATCAACTTTTGCAGATTAGGCTGTTTACCATTACTGCTTTTTGTACATGCTACCTGAGGCACTTTCCCCAGAGACTCTTCCTTGTCTAACCGCCTTATCCTCTCTCACAGAGTGGCCCGACCCCTTGGTGCCAATGTCTGCGCCACTAACCAGTCTCTCACCCAAGTTAGGACGATTCTTGTGTTACGTAAAAGATTTGCCCTTTTGGACAGGTTCATGTCTATGCTCTCTCGGTTTAGTTACCAGTGCTCGACATAGGTCATGTCATGTAAATAGTTTCCTGATTGAATAAAATTATTTCAACTACTACTTGCCTTTTGCTTTTTTGCCTGGATCCCACACTTGAGTGGGACATAAACATAGACATAAACAGACATAAACAGCCTTACTTGGAATCCAAGCTAGTCGGGCAGGTGAGGAGTTAGTGGAAGAGACCTTGGTCCGAGAGGAGGCTGACAGAGAGTGTGCAGCCAGACGAGCCTCCGTCAAGAAATTAACAAAGACATTAAAGTTATTGGTAAGGCACTTGCCTCTCGACTAGAATTCTAATCTCTTCAGTAGTTCATAATGAGTAAAAAGGGTTCATCAAAGGCAGAGATTCTACTTACAGTGTTAGGCTACTCACCCTCATTATCCAGGGATAGTGCCAGAAAACAAGAGGAATAGTAATGTCACTAGATCAGAAAAAAACTTTTGCAAAGTTAATTGGTAAGCAAGGAAGCAAAATGGAATACACTGAACATGCGACTAAATAAAATGATAAGATTAGACCTTCATAAAGACGCAGACTTGACACTGTGACATGGAGACATGAGGGGAACAGAGGGAACATGAAACACGGTGACAAGAGTAACTAAACATGGAAAACAGGGAAGCCACAGTGACAGAAAACTAGGAACTATAAATCTAACACAAGCAGAAAACAATAAAGAGAACCAAAAATAAACCATCACACAGGACAACAAAGACTTTGCTACTGGGAAAGGAGCAGGTTATTTACATGAAATTCAGTGTACTGATTCCATCCATCCATCCATCTTCATCCGCTTTATCCGAGGCCGGGTCACGGGGGCAGCAGCCTAAGCAGAGAGGCCCAGACCTCCCTCTCCCCAGCCACCTCCTCCAGCTTATCCGGGGGAACACCAAGGCGTTC